AGGACCTGCAAGCTCCCCTCCAAGCCACTCATTACCCTGACTTGGAAATATAATCGATACTTCAGTGTCAGTCAAAATCCTGGAACCTCCTCCCTAACGGCACTGTGGGTATTCCTCCACCCAATGAGCAGTAGTTCAAGAAGGCAGCTCACCACCACCTTCTCAACAGCAATTAAGGATGGGCAATGAATGTAAGCCTAGTCAGTGATGTTCAAACACTGCATGTATGTGAATGCACAGACCATCGTTCTTAAGATTGGCGTGTTGGATTATAATGCTATCGAGATAATGGAGATCTGTCTGAAGGAAGAGCAGGTGTAAGTATTAAATATTCCAAGTGACAAGGTATTCAGAAAAGATAGGAAAAGGATAAAACAGAAAAGTGGTATTATTGTCTAAGGAGAGCACTGCAGTTCTATAAAGAAAGAATGCTTCAGCAAGTTCAAGGACAAATTTGATTCAGCAAGAACTAAGGAATAAGAAGGGTGCGTTGCTTCGGTGCTGTCTACAAACCACTTACGAGCAGAAAGGAGGTACAAGAACAAATCTGCCAGGAAATTACAGAAGCTACATCATGGAGTAGCGGTAACGGGGGCTTCAGTCACCTTAGTAAAGACTGGAAAGTGGTAGCATAAAGGGCAAGGAGCAAGCATTTCTAGATTGTGTTCAGGAGGGTGCTGAGTGTCTAAGCCAACAAGAAAGGAATTATTGCTAGATCTGGTTCCAGGGAATGAAGTGAGCCAAGAAGATCAAGTAAAAAGTGCAGAGGACCGTGATTATTGCATCATAAATTTTAACATGATGGTAGAAAGTTACATCCAGAGTATGTGTAATATTTGACATATTTTGCAACAATGAATGGAAGTAAAGCATGAATATGTTCAAAGATTGAGATTTAGAGCCATACTGGCTAAAAAAATCATTTGGTAAGGTGTTGGAGGTCTAGCTTTTTTGTGTGTGGCAACAAGATGTAAAGTGTAACTTTGAAAATGCAAAGCTGCTATTTAGCTAGAGAATATTTCAGTATCGTAAAGATTAATAGTCCAAAAAGACTTGTAAGCCATAAATTTATAAACATGATTGAAACTCAAGATCATCACAAAGGAGCAAATATTTTGAATGTCTACTTTCTCAAACTCTCTCCAGGCAGAAGTAACATACCTTCTTCAAACAGATGGGAATTAAAAGAAAGTCTCACCCATGACCTGACCAGAACACTTTTTAAGGCTGCCAAAATCTTAAATTAAAAAGGTTGATGCACATTCTGGCCACTATCACACAGCACTGTTTTATATTGCTTTGGCCAGATGCACAAAGCTTTGGTCATACTAAAGTACTTTGAAGAAATTCTTTAAACTGAAACTGCCTTCATTTGTGGTTGGCAAGGCATACATTTTCAAGGTTGAAAGGAATTCAAAAGGGAATAAAGTAATAATAGAACTCCCAGTTAAATAAACTTATGTTGGAGTCAAGCTGTGTCATATGGGACACATTGCATGAAGGAGCACTACTCAAGGCCCATTTGCAAAGAAAGCAGAATCGCAAAATACATTCTTGTAACGTATTCATTGAGGGTGGCAAAGTGGTTCAGTGGTTAGCACTGCTGCCTCACAGCAGCAGGGACCCGGGTTCGATTCCAGCCTCGGGCGACAGTCTATGTGGAGGTTGCACGTTCTCCCAGTGTCTGCGTGCGTTTCCTCTGGGTGCTCCAGTTTCCTCCCACAGTCCAAAGATGTGCAAGCCAGGTGGATTGGCCATGCTAAATTGCCTGTAGGTGTTCAGGGATGTGTAGGTTAGGTGTATTAGTGACAGGAAATGCATTGTTACAGGAATAGTGAAGGACGATGGGTCTGGGTGGGATGCTCTGAGGGTCGGTGTGGACTCGTTGGGCTGAGGGGCCTGTTTCCACATTGTAGGGATTCTATGATTTCACTTTGTTACAAAAGGTTGACCAGTTTAATTTGTTCACCTGCAGATTACAAGACCAAAAGGAAATCTGGGATCATTTGCAATGATTCACCTGGCTTTTCAAAGTTTGTTTTATTTATACGTTCTTGGGATGTGGAAACCAAAGAAAGCAGTATTTATAGTTCACGAGGGCATTACAATTCAATAATGCAGTGTTGGAAGAAACAGCACAAGGTCAGTTGGTAGCTCTCATTCCTGAAGAGCAGTTATGCCAGTTCGTTCTCCAATCATTAGCCAATAACTTTCAAATTTACTTTGTTGACACCTCACAATTCAACATTATATCTTTCTTTGTAGGTTTATGAACCTTCAACCTGCAGTGTAGTACAATGGCTAATAAGCTCTCAGTCATTTGGATCTATTTTGCCAACTTGATCTTGTGACTCCATTTGTTTCACAAACAGCCCTTGCGCGATGTTCCTTTAAAACGCCTAGACTTTACCAGCATGTATGATTCTCAACGACAACTTGTCAACAGAATCAAAGGACAAGCTAAATGCTTATCTGTTCAACTGAAAAACAAAAATAGAGGCATTGACCTTGAAGAAAATGCAACCTAGAGACCTCTGAGTCATGGATTTCCTTTGTCTAATGTCAGTTTAAACCTGGATCTCAAAATATCCAGTACTAAACGTCAAACAAGAAAAATAACCAGTCATACTGAAGTATTCTCTCAGTCAGCAAACCAGGTAACAAGCCACACAGAATTCACTTTGAATTATGATTTATAGAAAGAAACAGACACATGATTGGAATGTTCACAAAAGTAAATGTGTCATTATTTGGTTATAATGGTAAAATTTGGCATTCCAAAAATATAAAATTAGATTTTATTTTTAGCCACCAGTGAGGTTGCTCAGCAGTAATTACAAATTTGGTGTTACTAAAAATAATAATATCTCAATCAATGAGTGCATTTTTTTTCCAATGGTTAATACAGCAAGAAAACTAGCACTAAAGGGTAAATTTTAAGTGGCGACTACTTTGAGTCTGTGGGGTACATCTACTGCTTACCTAATTGAAATATATGAGATTCTTAGGGGATTTGACAAGGTAGATGTGGAAAGGTGGTTTGCTCTCATGGGAGAGTCGAGGAACAGACAGTGTAATCTCAGAATTAGGGGTCACCTTTTACAACAGAGATAAGGAGGAATCTCTTCTATCAGAGGACAGTGAATCTGCTTATTCTTTAATCACAGAGGGCTGGAGAAGTTGTGTTGTTAAGTATATTGAAGGTGGAGATGGAGGGATTTTTAAATCAGTAAAGCAATCAAGTGTTAGCGGAAAATTACGATGAAACTTTTGTCTGATATTGTGACTGTCAGACCATTAGTGATTTTGAGGGAACGAGATCAGCCATGAAGTCACTGAATGACAGAGTGGCCTGACTTCTGTGCTTCTGCCTTATGGTCTATAGGAAGTGTAAAATCATCAACAGAATACAGACTTCAGAATTGCTAACAATTTTCGAAGAATAATGATGGTGCATTAGACAGGTTCATAATTGTTACTGGTGCAAAGTCCAGGCCCAGAGAAATTTCCATCAGGTCCAGCCAAGATCATTGAAAAATGATCACAATCTAATTTGTAGGATGAGCAATTTTTCAATAATTGATGATACAGAAGTGATTGATCAAACGTGCAATTAGCTTATATTCGGTTTGAGTGTGGTTAATTGTTAAATGACTTTCTCCTGACAGAAACCATTTGGTCCAGATCAAAGGTTGATGGTTTTATTGCTTTATGGCTCAGGCTAATGAAAAAACCTTTTCTAATGAGCATAACATGTCTCTTCCCCAAAACATATGTTTCAAAATGCAATATGGTTTAGGTTATAACAAAGTTTGTAATAAGGAATGGACACAGACATGCATATGTGCTTATATTAAAAACATTAGAATTAGGGTCAGTCACGAGTTCATGCAGCAGTTGTGAACATTCTGGATGCATGAATTAGAAAATTGGGGATGATAGTTAAGCACTGGAAGGCAAGATCATGTACATTAAGCAGACATACAAACTGGTGTCACTCTATCTTGGTAGGGGATTGGAACAAGCTGTAATTAAAAAGGGTCGAACTTATAAGGTGATCAACAAGTGAAAGAATGAATCTAAGTGGAAAGTGATATCACAAAAGGTGCCCATTACTTTTAAAGAAACCAAGGAAAAAGTCAGACACTACCTAGCCAACCCAAGACTGACCATGACCTGTTAATGCACTGTGTATGCACCATCTAGACAGTTAACAATCAGATCATGCATTGTGTGGACCAAATCAGCATTCAAAGACTTCAATGACAACAGAGTTTGTCCTCATGGTGCACTGTGTTCATGTGTGCCTGGAGTTCCCAAAATCCACAAAACTGATGCCCCTTTAAGATGATGCACATTTTATTTATGTCTGGTTCTGCACAACACAAAGTGGCCAACTGGCTTAGCAAGTTACCATAACCAGTTCTGAGCAACGTTGTTGAGGTGCCGGTGTTGGACTTGGGTGGATAAAGTCAAAAAAAAAATCACACGACACCGGTTATAGTCCAACAGGTTTAAAAATCACAAGCTTCCAAGTTTTCCGCATCTACAGTACAGGATTCCTCCTTCTTCGTAAAGATCATACAGGGCATGTATAGTGATAGCCATGCTGTGCCCATTAGATCTTTTGGTATTGCTAGCCTTTTCACTAATATACAATGAAGCCATTAACAGCTGCACCACAGAGTACATCATGGCAATCTAGATGACTAGCCATTGTCTGAATCTCATATTCTAATATGAAGAGATGAAGCTATCAAACAAGTCCGTCATTTGCCTTGACATTCTACTTGAGGAGTCTACTAATCTTGTACTATCTACAACAATCCCATCTTCAATGGTTAATATACACACAGATTCCTATAGTTTCCCAAGTTACAAGATTGGTCAATGCAACATTCTCATAAACGGGCCCATGACATTTTTGCCCACTGTGCAAACCTGATGGCAAGCAAGCATGAACACATCAATTTATAAAAACAACAATCTTAAGGACCAACCTGTTCTGGCTGATTGACATTTGAGAGAGGTGTCACAGTCCAGATGATATTCAGTTGAGTTAAAGCAGCACTTGTAATGAAGGTACATGGTAGTTCGGCTGTTTCACCTCTGGCAACCTGCACACTCTTGCTACTCATAGTAACTTCTAATAATTCCACCCAACCTGCCAAGAAAAGGTTAATAATATTGAATGGGTACAATACAAAACTAATACCATTAAAGCGATTGACAAACATGTTATTCTTGAGCATGGTATGTGATGCAATCTTAATAAGCTTTTCATATAGAGTACAAGTTGAATTAAAAATCTATGGCCAGTGTGTAATTTAATCAAGGTAATCAGATAATGCCACAACCTGACAATTGTGAATTACAAATTTTGCATTCATCCCACAAGTGTGCTACAGAATAGAACCTGTTATCTTTATAATCGACAAAGGACAAAGCTATTTCTCATCAGGAATTTTTATGAGCTGGCCTTGCTTCAGAACAGCAGATAGCCTGAAAGAATTGATGACAGTTTTGTGTTCACTCCACTCCACAATAATAGCTTGATTTTTCAATGGGCATTCCATTGTTTATACCATACAAAGGGGTAAGGTAACACAGCATTTGAAAATTATGCACTCTTTCAGATGTTAACTAACCCTAATCAATTTACTGCCACAGATTATATTTTACTCTCTGTGAACAGCTTTGCAAGAGAAAAGCATGTTCAAAATGAAATAAAAATAGAAATTGAAACAGAGATTTTGCAACCAACCATCGTAAAACGAAATTGGGGTGGAGGGGACAAATTTTGGAATGAGATTGGCCTACGCAATAGCACAAAACAGATTTAAGTGAATTGGCTGCCACATTTTCACTGCTTATTTTACATAGATCATATTGGCAGAATAGTCATGTTTTATTTGAAAAATCAAATAAAAGTGACACTGAAACCAGGAAGTGATCTCCAAAACTGTGACCTCCAGTGGGAGAGAGATCAAGTGAGATAACTAAAAAGTTAATGATTTAACAGAATCTCTTTTGTGGTACAAACACAGGCAATTTCACCTTCTGCTAAAAGTATCTGCCCAAATCACTTAGAACACTAATGTCCACACCCAATTTCCGTGTTTCAGGCTCATTCAAGTGGTCAAATCATCCAAGATTGAGTACATACACATTGTGTCAGATAACTGACTCTCTTTCCTCTCACCACTACCCCCCCTCCATTTTTAGAGGAATTGATAGAATTTCTTTCATTTGGTACAAAAGCAAGGCAGCTGCAAGGTAAGTCTCTAGTCATAGACTTTGAAACAAAATCTCTCTTCGATCAGCAGTGGGAAGGTGGCACGTCCTTCACCACTTCATCAGCCAGATTTATTGTTCTCTTTTGTAACCAAATGCTACCTCCCCCAAAACACACTGTGATTTACTTAAGCAGAGACTCTCTGAGCTGGTACATGAAAGTGAAAACAAAAAAAAAGACCGAGATTATAATTGAAAAGGTTGTTCTAGAGCAACAGGACATTGATTCAGACTGTGGCCTTTTTCTCAGCATCCTGTTAGCTACTCAGTAATAGCAATTAAGACCTGGATTGCATCTCCTTTGTTTCTATGTTACCCAGGTTTTACTTGCAACAAAACTGTGTGAATTAAGCGAAGGCTAACTTTTAAGCATGTGTCCCTGATGGCATGCGAGAGTTGACATTATTTGTGCGACAATTCCAGTTGAAAAAGTTCTAGGGACTTAATACTCTACTATTAAGGATGACGTTTACATTTATTTTGTCAAAGCAACTTTGTGAACATCTTGACCACACTGCATTGCGAAGGGCTACTTGCTGAGTTTATAATTTTAGTGGATGACCACACTTTAGGCAATGTACAATGTTTCAGTGCCCAGGATGTTCAAAAAGAAATGAGAAATGGCTTCAAATTAACTATCTACCTTTACTAAAGCACATGATCAACAAATACTACTTTATATTATTTCTAATTTACAAAAAATAATAAATGCATGGAAGGGATATTGTCTAGTACCCCATGACATTCTCGTTCTCCCAACAGAGTGTACTGATGCAATTTTTAAGAGAATCTGTGGAGAACGTTGCATTTCTTCACACCATCAGCAATCTGGGTTAAGGACTGCAACCCACTGTCTAAACTGGCATTGTATTGCTTGTTGCTGAAAAGTTACAATGGTCCTAAACTCCGTTGCATTCAGTTATAGCGTCAGAGTCACACAGCACAAAAACAAACCCTTCGGTCCAACCAGTCCATGCCGAACCTAATCCTGAACTGAACTAGTCCCACCTGCCTGCTGCTGGTCCATATCTGTCCAAACATTTCCTATTCATTATCTATCCAAATGTCTTATAAATGTTATGATCGTACCCACCTCCAACACTTTTTCAGGAAGTTCATTTCACACATGAATCACCCACTGCGTAAAATATTTGCCTCATGTCTTTTTTAAATCTCTCTCCTCTCACCTTAAAAATGTGTCCCCTAGTCTTGAAATCCCCCATCCTACGGAAAAGACAAATACCATTAACCCTATCTATGCCGCTCATTATTTTTAAACTTCTATAACCTCCTCCGCTCCAGTGAAAAATGTCCCAGCCTTTCTTTATAATTCAACCTCCATATCGCAACTTCCTGGTAAATCTCTTCTGAACCCTCTCCAGCTTTGTAATATCCTTCCTCTAATTGGGTGACCAGAACTGGACATAGTACTTCAGAAGAGGCCTCACCAATGCCCTTCACAACCTCAACATGACTTCCCAACTCCTATACTCAAAAGACTGAGAAACGAAGGCAAGCATGCCAAATACCTTTTTAACCACCCTGTCTATATATGATATAGAAGCTTCAAAGAATTACCTACATGCACCCCTAGGTCCCTGTGCTCTACAACACTACCCAAGGCTCTACCATTAAAATTGTATAAGCCCTACCCTTGCCTGTTGTACCAAAATGCAAAGTTCTTTCCAAAACTACAACTGATGGTTCTATGATAGCTCTAGTTACAGGAAAACCTTCTAATCAGGCAGCCTTGAGTAGAGGAGACAGCAGGAACTGCAGATGCTGGAGTCAGAGTCGACACAGTGTGGAGCTGGAGGAACGCAGCAGGCCAGGTAGCACCAGAGGAGTAGGAAAGTCGACGTTTCGGGTCGGGACCTTCTTCAGAACCAGCTTTGAGGAGAGTCCTTTTCAAATAACACTTTGACCTCCAAAAGTCATATTAAGCAGTACTTCTACACTATTGGCTGCTGTTTAATATTGACATCTTGGCTATCATCAGCAAACCTAGTTCAAAGAAAAGGGATTTTCCTTCAGATCGCAATACATCTTTGTCTGATAATTTTATCTGTAATTGATCTTTTCGGTGACAATTAGATTCAATTAATTACTTAAGTTTTGTCAGAATAGAATTCTGATTAGA